GTGAGACTCTGTCTCAATAACAACAACAACACAAAAAGAAGTTTAGAGACAACCAGTCTCTGCTCCAGCCACACAGGACTATATATATATCATATTTTCTATGCTTTTTATATATAAAAAGTATATAATATATATACTTGTACCCCATATATATATATATGGGGTACAAGAGATGGTTTGAAACTGGCATGTAATCTGTAATAATCACAACAGGTAAAATGGGGTATCCATCCCCTCAAGCATTTATCTTCTATGTTATAAAGAATCCAATTATACTCTCTTTTTTCTTTTTCTTTTTTTTTATTTTTTGGAGGCAGGGTCTCACTCTGTTACCTTGGCTGGTGCGGTAGTCTAATCATGGCTCACTGAAGCCTTGACCTCCTGGGCTCAAGTGATCTTCCCACCTCTTAGCCTGTAGCTGGGACTACAGGCATCCGCCACCATGCCTGGCTAATTTTTTGTAAAGACCGAATCTTGCTATGTTGCCCAGGCTGGTCTTGAACCCCTAGGCTCAAGTGATCTGACCACCTCAGCTTCCCAAAGTGTTGAGATTACAGAGGCCAGCCACTACACCCAGCCCAGTTATACTCTTTTAGTTCTTTTTAAATGTACAATTAAATTATTATTGGCGATAATCACCCTGTGGTGCTATCAAACACTAGGTCTTATTCATTCTTTCTATTTTTTTTGTACAAGTACCTTTATCTTTACAAAGCTCCTCAGGCAATTTTGATATATTGTCCATTTGAAAACCACTAAATTAAAACATAAAGCACTAGAAAGGGAGAAGTAAGAGACATGCTAGAGAAGTTTTGATGGATTGGCCTGAGAACACAATCACCACTTCCTAAGGGAATATCCATTCTGAGTTTCAAACAACCAATTTATAAATAAATTTTAGGAGAGAAAAAATTTGTAAGATCAGGAAGAACTATTTTAGTGTCCCAAAATATTTCAAGAATCTATTTATATAAGCAGTTTGGATATAAGAATAAAATCAAGTTTTAAAGAAGAGAAAAACCATATTCTTCAAGAACAATTTGAGCGCATAGTTTCTCTTTGATACTCTATTTGGGGTGGTTTAGAAATAAAACAGGCTGGCCAGGCATGGTGGCTCACATCTGTAATCCTAGCACTTCAGGAGGCTGAGGCGGGCAGATTACCTGAGGTCAGGAGTTCGAGACCAGCCTGATGTACATGGTGAAACCCCGTCTCTACCAAAAATACAAAAAAAAAATTGCTGGGCATGGTGGCAGTTGCCTGTAATCCCAGCTATTTGGTAGGCTGAGGCAGAAGAATCGCTTGAATCCAGGAGGCAGAGGTTGCAGTGAGCCGAGATCACGCTATTGCACTCCAACCTGGGTGACGAGAGCAAAACTCCATCTCAAAAAAAAAAAAGAAAGAAAAAAAAGAAAAGAAAAGAAAAGAAAAAGAAAGAAAGAAATGAAAGAGGCTTGGCTGGGTGCAGTGACCTTGCCTGCTGTGTTCCAGCGATTCTCCTGCCTCAGTCTCCCACATAGCTGGGATTACAGGTGCCTGCCACCACACCAGCTAATTTTTGTATTTTTAGTGGAGATGGGGTTTCACCATGTTGGCCAGGCTGATCTTGAACTCCTGGCCTCAGGTGATCCACCCACCTTAGCCTCCCAAAGTGCTAGGACTAAAGGCGTGAGACACCATGCCCATTCAGCATTTAGCATATTTTATATTACTTAAGTCTCACAAAAATAAACTGGGTGTTACTATACCCATTTTATAAACTGAGTAAACCAAGAAAAACTAGGTAACATGCCTAGGTCCCATCATAATGACAGATCCTACAGGCTTTTGTTTTAAGAGACGAGGTCTCACTATGTTGCCAGGCTGGCTATGAACTCCTGGGCTCAAGGAGTCCTCCTGCCTCATCCTCCCGAGTAGCTGGGACTACAGGTACATGCCCCTGCACCCAGCTTCCCAAAAGGTCTTTCTGACGCCAGAGTTAAAGCCTTAATCATACACTATGTTACATGACTCTCATCTACATTGCCTGTCATCCAGCCAGCATGCACAGCTCTCAAACATAGGACCTCTGATAAGCCTGATCAGTAGCCTGCAACAGTTAACTGAGCTAATCAACTCAAGAATGGAGACGCTGTTAACACATAACTGAGAGAGAATGAACCTAAGATATCTGCCCCGTTATTAGTCATAAAGTAGGAGATTAAAAACAAAACAAAAGAATACCTTTACTTTGATCTTTCTGGGCAAGCTAGGAAAAAAAAACAAAAAAGGAGGGGGGAGCGGCAAATAGACTCTGGGGTGGTTGAATCAGGAATTTAACTCTGGGAGAAGCCTCCTTAAAATTCCATAAAGTCTTAAGAGGGAGCAGACTGAAAATAATATATTTTTCCTCATCTCACAGCCTTCTGAAAAAAAAAGCATTGAGAGCATAAACCATTCTGAAGATTTACAACTTAAAGCAAATCACCTTAAGGTACTGGAATCAGTCAGTGCTTAGATGGAACATTTTTTGAGGGCTACATCTTCACCGAGAGTGCCCTTCTCTGTTTCCTATACTTCTTGTTTCTTTCTGTTCCCACCGCATCCCATACGGATTCGTACAATAATGCTGGGTTCTTTTCTTTACCCACATGCAACAGTTGCTGCTGGATCCTAACCATTCCTTCTACTGGTTTTAAAATCTGTTTTTCTCAGATTCTTTACACTTGAAGGAAATTTAAAAAAGACATTTAGCCTCTTTTTCTTTTTTTTTTTTTTTTTTTTTTTTTGAGACGGAGTTCCGCTCTTGTTACCCAGGCTGGAGTGCAATGGCGCGATCTCGGCTCACCGCAACCTCCGCCTCCTGGGTTCAGGCAATTCTCCTGCCTCAGCCTCCTGAGTAGCTGCCTCTTTTTCTTTTAAGTAATAAAAATTATTCTCTCACTGTACTGATTATTCTCCATGTGGGGCTAAATTATGAAAATTCTGACTCTTTTTCTCTTTGCAATAATAACAAGTTAGTATACCACGTTGGACTTTTTTATTTCTTTTGGGGGGAGGTACTCAAAATCCACTGTAAATCTCAAGTAGAATTCCATTTCTAAATGAGTTTTTGGTTAGAAATGTACACTTAAAATTTTAGTGCGGTATTTGGAAAGTAATGGAATGACTACCAAGCACTAAACATTGAGACTGTAAGATGGCGCACATTAAATTTGGTTACTTGTTGAATGATATTGGTCTGATTCCAGGGAGTAGACTATGCAGATACAGTTCCAAAATTGGACTACAGAAAGCTGATACAGCTCTGCATTCTGAGTGAGTTAATTAAGCTTATTTAAACATAGACAGTAAGAAAGGAGAGGAAGAATGATGGGGAAACCAGGCAGGACACTGTTCTCTACGATTATCAAGTGCTCACTTCATTATAATAGTACTGGCCTTTCCACCACAGAATGCTAAGAAACCTGAAGCAGTACTGTCATGTCAGTTGGCACTGGTAATTAGATCAAAAGTAAATATGTATCTCTTGCTAAAAATATAAGAGGCAGGAGGCTACAGACATTTATGCTCTAAGAAATTTAATTTGAAACTAATGTATAAGACAACCTGAGTAAATCTGACTTTAGAGAGATTCAACTGTACTATACCAGACTATATGAGAAGGGCAAACAGGAGAAAAGAAGAATGGGGAATTACTGTATTCATCTACTTTTAAAGATAGTAAGTAAAACTGGTTAAATGTCATCACCAGCAGTATTAAACTGCATGAAGATTGCACTGCATTTTTATTTTTGTCATTTTTTGAGACAGGGTCTCGCTCTGTTGCTCAGGGCGAGTGCAGTGATGCAATCACAGCTCACTTCAGCCTTGACTTTCCAGGCTCTAGGGCTCCTCCCACCTCAGCCTCCAGAATAGCTAGGACCACAAGCATATGTCACCATGCCTGGCTAATTTTTTGGTAGAGGTGGGGTTTCACTTTGTTACCCCAGATAGTCTTGAACTCCTGGGCTCAAGTGATCTGTATACCTCGGCCTTCCAAAGTGCTGGGATTGCAGGTGTAAGCCACTACGCCTGGCCTTGCATTGCCATTTTTATATATCAACTTTTTTTTTCTCATGTAGCCCCAAAGGGGCAAAAAAGACTTTAATTAGGGGAGGGAGGATCTACCAGAATTAGAAAAGGGACAGCTAGCGTGGGAGCAGAGGAGCCACAGCAGGCAGGAGGAGGGCCCGGCTGGGAAGCTCTGGAGGAAGACTCACCTCGCCACCTATGGCAGGCACTGCACTGACAGACAAGGCGAAACAGCGGCCCCTCTCAACTGGGAGGGTACCCAATGGCCCCCACAGCCAGAGGTTGCCTGGCTTTTGGGCCCCAGGTCCTAGGCGTGACTGGTGGTCACCAATTTGGCCCTTGTCCCCAACCAGTGCAGGGTGGCCATCTTCAGGCAGAACTCAGGAAGCTGGCAGAGGGTTCCCACCACTTATACTGGGCCCAAGGAGGCCTCGGAATAAAAGAGCAAGGGAGAGGAACTGGAGTCTGAAACCTCCCTCCCTCCCCACGTGGGATGGCATAGGAGAGGAAAAACAGTCACCTTCTGGGCTCGAGGCCCGCCCAGACCCACAGCAACCAATAAGGGACAATCACTGGGACCAGTCACAGCCACTGGAGGGGGAGGTTGTTTGTTTTAAAATAAATAAATAAATAAATAAAAGACAAAAAGGTTACAGTCTCCTCTAAGCACTGAGTTTAAGTTTCAAGACATTAAAAATAAAAAAATCTGTCCCGGCCCAGGGGACCGAACATCAGAAGCCAGCCTGACCAAGTACCTGTGGCCTTGGGGCCGTCCACTGCTGCTTTCTTGCCCAGCTAGCAAGCACACCCCCCACCTCCCACATCAAATGTCCACCCGAACCCAGCTCCCTGCTGCCGCCGCTGCTGTTCCAGGAAGTGACTCCAGGACGCCTTCATGGAGACATGGAGAGTCTGAGGGGGAAGGCCACAAGATTCAGCCAGATGGTTTAAAAATTAAGGAACTCCTCAGCCACAATGCGGGCACGGGCATGGACTGACAGCTTCATCTCACTGATCTCCGTGTCAATCTCCTCCATGAAGGGGATCGCAAAGTCCACCAACTTGTGTTTGTACATCTGCTCTGTGTGGACGCTGGTGATCAGAAAGCTGACGTCATACCCCTCCACAGACTTCCTTCGAAGGATGAAGACGTTTTCTGCTCCCATCATCAGGAAGCGCATGAATTTGTGGCATAAAATCTTCTCGATCTCATCAGCCTGTTCCACAGCAACGCTGACCCGGACCGAGTTGATGGAGCCCTCAATCAGAACCTTTTCCTTCTCATGCCTGCTGATGGTCACGGGTTGTAACAGGAGTTCTTTGCTACTCCTGGCTTCCACTTCCGGCTGGTCGTGTCGTTCCACAACCTGGGAGGAGCTCTCCAGACAGAGGGCAGCCTGCAGTGTGGCCCGCACGGCACTCAGATAGGGGCGGAGAGTGGCAGTCATCGCGGGCGCTGGATATATACCAACTTTTTAACTTGGGAAGAAAGGCTTATCCATACAACTTTGCATTTCTTTTCTTTCTGAGACAGAATCTTGCCCTATCGCCCAGGCTGGAGTGCAGTGGTGGGACCTTGGCTCACTGCAACCTCCACCTCCTGGGTTCAAGCAATTCTCCTACCTCAGCCTCCCGAGTAGCTGGGATTACAGGTGCACACCACCACTACTGGCTAATTTTTTGGTACTTTACTTAGTAGAGACAGGGTTTTGCCATGTTGGCCAGGCTGGTCTCAAACTCTTGACCTCAAGTGATCCACCTGCCTCAGCCTCCCATAGGGCTGGGATTATAGGCGTGAGTCACTGCACCTGGCCACAACTTTGCATTTCTAAAAATGACTTATTTACTCACTCATTCAACAAGTATTTATTTATATGCAGCAGGCATAGCTATCCTGGAACAAAGGCACAGTCTATCCCCTGGAGGAGTTTACAGTCTGGTGGGGAGAAAGTCTTAAAAGAAATAATCACAATTTAAATAAATACTGTATTTACAAAGTAAGTGAAGTGCTCTCTGAGAGAAGAAAAAATGGAAGGATACTAGTACATGGCTCTAATTTTTATTGCTTCTCTGAGAAATGGCAATGAAGCTGAGCCCTGAAGAGTAGGTTAGCCAGTGAGGATTAGGGAGAAAGGGTGTCCCAGGCACAGGGAACGATGAGCACAGAATGACGAAGAGCAAGACCCGCTACACAATTTGCAGGCTCAGTGCAAGATAAAAACGGAACACAAAAACTAAGAATTTCAAGCTAGTGAGGGAGCTTTCAACCAAGTGTGGGGACCTATGTGACTGCACAGGTCATACACACATGAAGCCAGATTTGGAAAAGGATGCATGTTGAAGGGACTCAAGGCCAGTTGCTGGAATCCAGTGCGGGGAGAAATTGCTAGCTGAAACTGAAGAGTATGAGAGGCACCGAGGAACCAGTCCAAGGCGCAGGGCCTCCAGGGACCAACCTCACAGAGGTTCACAGTTTCCCCAAATAGTTAGCAAAGAGCTACTGCGTAAGCAAGGCTGTTATGTAATCACTCTGCCGGGCGCTGAGAGGAAGACAAAGAAGATGTCTGCTTTTAAGGAGCTTACAAATAATTATATAATTTAGGGTAGAATGTGACAGGTCTCACAAGAAAGGTGTAAGTACCAGTATGTAGTTGCTTCAAGGCATGAAGTTTACTCATTTCGGGGTGGGGAACTGCAAAACACAGAGGCAGAAGGACTGCACACTGACTGAAATTGGCATGCTTCTGCCTTTGGACCTATGATTTAACCATATCACTGCAGGAATAGCAAACACATCCAGCACATCCTATGTGCCAGGCACTGAGTACTACATGCTTTACATGTATCAACTCATTTTAGCCTCACGTCTCTGAGGTGGGTACTATTCTATCATCTTCATTTACCAGAAGAAGAACAAAGGCACAGAAAGGTTAAATAGATTGCCCAAGGCCACACAGCTAATAAGGTGGGGATTAATTTGAATCCAAGCAGTCTGAGTTCGATATCCTTGCTTTGAATTTTTATACTATACATAATTTTACTAAGATTAAGTGTTTAATTTTGCTTTGTTTTTTAAATCTGTGTGCTATAATTGCACCTCTTTTACTTTTCTCCTGGTGCACTTGGTAAGTTATATATACTGCCTCAAATTGGCTACGAAATATAGAACAAGAAAAATAATTGCCCTAAATATTTCCCCTTCTTTATTACCTAGAGCCAGAGTTGGAAGAACGGCTGTATGAAATACATTTAGGTATGAGTTTCTGAAAGAAGACAACATAGACAAGCACTGCTTTCCTATGCTGCTGACAGCAATCCCAATGTGTCTTTGCACGGATGGCTAATTAGAGCCACGTAGTTATGGACAAATTAACACTGACTCCCTTCAAACTGTGAACAGTGAATTGATGGAAGTCTAAGAACTCACACATGGGCTCCCAGTATCCCTATGACCCAAAGCTGGATCTGTTCCGTACAGAATTGGTAAGTACATGCATATGCTCATTAATTCAACAAATATCTACTGTGTACAAGGCACTATGCCACATGCTATGTGGGATACAAAGAAAGTTATGACACAGTCTGTTCATCAAGAAACTTATAATGAACTTTAAAATTTTGTTCATGCCATAACAGAAATATAAGCCTCATTCTATGATGGTGCAGAGGAGAATGATTTAACAAATCCATCAGGAAAGTTAGCATAGACTTGAAGGAAGAGACAACATGCAAGCATCGTCCTGGAGGGGTTTCTGCTACTGACCATTCCAAAGTGTCAGGGTATTTTTTTGTTTTACTTTGTTTTGGTGGGGGAGGAGGAGGGCATATATCATTGCCTCCAAGGACTGCAGACAGGTGTGGCCATAGGTCTCCTCAGTACCTTTCCCAGGTAGGAAGCATCTTCTGTTAGGGTGGTAATCAACAGGCCCAAACACTGCTCTGGCTCGGGTGGCACCGTGCAGGCATTAAGGCTACCTGCCTTGCCAGAAGCTTATGTGCAATTCATGCAGGGCCAGAGGAACCTGTATGGTATTTCTAACCAATCCAATTTTAAATTATTTCTGACATCCTTTATGCTAACTAGAAGGCCCTCTGGTGTAGATTTAAAGATAAGCAAGTTAAATTTACAGTAGTTATCTCCTGATTAGGGTCTCTCCAACGTCAAACAACTACCCTTACAACAATGTATTCTCATATTAGTGTGCTTCAAATGTTCATTGGCCATGTCCAAGGTGTAGACTAACACACTGTGTAGACTGGGGTGTGTTAATGTCAATTAAAGGTAGCATTACAGTAGAGCAGGGCTATGAGAGGGGTATAAGGAGGGGCAAGATGTTCCAAATGGAGGGAAGAACTCATTATCGCTTATATCTTTCCTCATTCCAAAGGAAACTTCTGTAAGCAAAGGCATGGAGCTACAAAATGTGGGCCTACTAAATGTGCCAAGCAGTCCTGTTTGTTTGGGTGAGGAGCTAGATGACCTGGCATAAGGCACCTGCAGAGGAGGCCGGAAAGAATACACTGAAGCCAGCCTGAAGACTGTCTAGGTTGCTGCCAATCGCTGAAAGCATGAACCTATTTTGGTAGTTGCTAGCTCAGTGACCATATTTTCTGAAATAAAAATCAGGCAGATGGTCTTAACAGATGTTTGCATCCATTCTGGATATGAGAAGCAATTTGGAATATGAAAGAACCTAAAATACTAAAAGTTTTTGGATTGTTTTGGTAGCCAGGCTTATGAGGCAGAATATTTGACATTGGAACTGCCTTTTAAAAGAAAAGTCTTGTCACAATGATGTGAAGAGATCACTGAGGTTTTAAAATGCTCAAAGGATCAAAATTGTGTTTTTACAAACATGAATCTGGAAATCATGTATATGCTAAAGTAGAAGGGAAGATAAAGAAAAGAAAGGGTTAGGTACAGGCGCTCATGCTTGTGATCCTAGTGTTTTGGGAGGCTGAGGTGGAAGGATCACTTGAGCTGAAGAGTTCAAGAGCAGCCTGGGCAACAACGTGAGGCCCCATCTTTACAAAAAATAAAAATAAAAAATTAGCCAGGCATGGTTAGTGGTGTCTGTAGTCCCAGCTACTCCAGAGGCTGAGGCAGAAGAATCCCTTAAGCCCAGGAAGGTTTACAGTGAGCTATGATTGTGCAATTGCATTCCAGACTAGGTGACAGAGTGGGGTCCTGACAAAAGAGAGAGGGAGAGGGCGAGGGAGAGGGCGAGGGAGAGGGAGAGGGAGAGGGAGAGGGAGAGGGAGAGGGAGAGGGGGAGGGAGAGGGGGAGGGGAGGAGGAGGGGAGGGGGAGGGGAAAGGAAAGAGAGAGAGAAAGAGAGAAAAAGAAAAGGAAAGAAAGAGAGAAAGTAAAGAAAAGAAAGGGAGATGCTGGGCGCGGTGGCTCAAGCCTGTAATCCCAGCACTTTGGGAGGCTGAGGCGGGTGGATCATGAGGTCGGGAGATCGAGACCATCTTGGTCAACATAGTGAAACCCCGTCTCTACTAAAAATACAAAAAATTAGCTGGGCATGGTAGCGCATGCCTGTAATCCCAGCTACTCAGGAGGCTGAGGCAGGAGAATTGCCTGAGCCCAGGAGGCGGAGGTTGCGGTGAGCCGAGATCGTGCCATTGCACTCCAGCCTGGGTAACAAGAGCGAAACTCCGCCTCAAAAAAAAAGAAAAGAAAGGGAGAGAGGGAGGAAAGAAGGGAGGGAGAAAGGGAGCAATTGAAAGGACATTTAGGAAGCTATGAAAATAGATCAAGAGAAAGAGACTTTGTGAAAAAGGTGACAGCAGAAAGGGAAAGGAAGCAAGTTTTCCTAGTCATGGAATTAGTCTACGTCACTCATAATAATCACTTATGTCTGTTATGAGCTATTCCTGGGGTAAGAATTTTCCAAACTCCATTGGGATGCCTTAAGGCAAAAAATCCTGCCTTACTTACATTTGGTATCTACTGCAACCTAACATAAAGCTGAATACTTAGTAGATGCCTAAAGCCGATTTCTTCAGTTAAGCATATTCTTGCTGTGTCATGATTCAAATGGAATTTGTTAGTTAAATGCTGGAATAAAAGAAACAGATGAAGACTACGCCCATATGATTTCCTCGAGTATGGGTGTTATAGGAGATATGTGATCACACAGAGTTGATCAGTGGAAAACATAGAAATACACTTAACATAGGATATTCTTGTTTCCTGAATGAGAAAATTGTGATAACTAATTAAATTTGGCAGTTTTCTCTGATATGTTTGACAGAGCTAATAATTACTTCTGTTCTAGGGGGCAATTTCTAAAATAATGCATAAGAATAAGACTATTTGAGAAGACTTTTTATACTCTGCAATTGGAGCATTCCCTAAATCAAAATTCATTTTTTTCTTCTTCTTTTTGAGACAGTCTTGCTCTCTCGCCCAAGCTGCAATGCAATGGTGCAATCTTGGCTCACT